CGTCACTAGACCTATGTTGTTCACTGCTGTACTCCAAGCAAAAAGCTCCGCACACAAAAGACCTCAAAATAGTGCTAACTCAGAGCATTAATGCATGAATTCTCAAAGAGAGTAAAAAAACCCTTATTTTATGTATAAAGCACAAACATACACACAGTAGGTAAAAACACCCACAGTATGTCACATTGAAATTTCACAGGTGTGAGTAGGAAAACTGAAACCACTCCTTTCAGGGATAATAATTTAAGAAGAAGTGGATAAAGACTATATTAAAGCAACATTTTGGAATCAATGTTGGAAGGAAGCTCAAGTTCAAATACAAAGCCAACAACAGCAATAGTCTTTCCACTCACATGTCCCCATTTCATCTCAAAATCATGTAAAATTGTACCCAAGGTCTCTCCATACATAAAAAAAAACAAACGTGAAAAATCAAAGTCAATGCTATGAGGAACCAGACCCAGTCTACTGCCAAGCAGCTGGCTGTGTGACCTTGGGCAGATCATCTCACCTTTCTGGGCCTCAGTCTCCCCAACCACTTGGGGAGCTTAAGCTGGGCTCCAAGGTTGCAGAGATGAGGCCCTAGGTCTGGCTCCGGAACCTGATGCAGAACCAGAACGAAATGAAAACTGAACGTCTGTGGGCACCGACCAGGATTAAGACAAAAACTGAAACACCCACAAAACTGCTCGCCCTAACTCTGTCCTCTTCCCTCCTCCCTCAAAGGGTCCAACGGTGAACAAGGGACGCTCACGGGGAATATCGTTTCGGGTCTTAAAATCTGACTTTCATACACCCGTGGGCAGGCGCGCCAGGGAGGGGACGGGCCGAGGCGCGCACGGGGCCGCAGGCCTCACAGTCGCACGCTCTTCCGACCACCGGCGGGCCGGGAAGCGCTCCCGGAGGCTGAGGACCTCCTCTCCGGGGCACCCTCGGGGCCCACAGAGGCCCCGCCATGCGCCCGGGTCAACTCGCAGGCCCACGACGGCGGGCGGCAGCGCGAGCACACAAAGGAAGCGTCGTCATCGGCAAACAAAAACCTCGCCCGGGTTTCCCCGCCCGCCTCTCCGATTGACCTTGGCGCGTCCCTCCCCTCCCCAAGCCTCAGTTTCCCTTCCTAGATTCCGGACGAAGCTCCGCGGTCGGCCTGCCGGGCCGAGACGATCCCCAGACTGAGGCTCCCAACTTCCGACGCCCGCGCTGGGCCGGCTCGGGCACTCACGCGGACGACTGGGCGGGGCAAGCGGAGCTGGCCCGAGGCCCCAGAGAGGTCGGCCCGGGCTGCGGGGCCCGAGCGGGGCCGAGGCACGCAGGGCGGGCGCCGACGCCTCTGCAGGCCGCAAAGCCGCCTGAGCCCCGCATGTGCCCGGCCCTGACGTGCCACTCCCTACCCGCGAAGCCCAGACTTACCCAGGGTTCTGCTGGTCCGGCAGGCGCCGCCGCCAACACACTAGCGTGAGGAAGAATCTTCGCAAGCCGATAAGGAGACCCGCTCAAGCAAGACTCCGCCGACTCAAAGCAACCCACTTCCGCTCCTCAGGCGTAGGCCCCGCCCCCCAAAGTCCCCATTGGTCACCCCCGCCCCTACTACCGCGGTCTACCGGTTAAGGAGGTGTATTTTCAATTCTATTGGATGAGAAAACCATCTATTACCGCTTTGAACCGCGCCTCCTTCCGGCCCCACCCACGCTTGCGCGCCCAAGGTCCCAGTTCCCGCGAGAGTGGCGCCGGCGCCGCTACGCCCGCAAGGCCTCCTGGGAGTTGTGTCAGAGGCGCCAACTGCATTGTTGCTCCTTAGAGGCGGGGCACTGTCTCCAGAGCGAGCGGGCTCGGATTCTTCTGCTTCCTGGCTCACCTGCCGTTGTGTCCCTGGTGGGACCCGGCCGATAACTTGGACTGGAGTTCAGTCCCCGCCCGCCAATTCACGCGCCTGTCCGGGCCTCTTTCCTCGCCTGTTAACTAGACCTTTGTAACAAATGCCCCCGCGGCCCAAGGTCTGCGACCCTCTGCTGAAACCGGGCTTGAATCTGTCGTGCCAGGCCCTGAGTGTGTTGTTCCCGGCTCTTCCAGACTGGAGGAAGAGTCCCGGGGAAGAACAGCTCGTCCCATCCGCGGGAGCCAGAGGATCTTCGGCTTGGACGTCGGAGAGGGCTGCCCAGAGGAGGCGACCCCTAGCCGAGGACTGAAGGACGAGGAGGGAAGGGGAGAGCGTTCCAGCAAGAGAGCTGTCCCCAGAGCCTGGAAGGGAGTGGGGAGAGCTGGGCATTCCCGGGAGACCGAAGACTGGTGCCCCAGTGTGTCAGGAGCACGGGGAGGCGGGGCAAGAATCAGTCTGGGAGGGCCCAGGTGCCAAGTCCGGACAGTCTTGTGGGCAAGGGGTACCAGAAAAGGAAGAGTGAAGGGAAAAGCATTCTTCCCCAGGATGGGCCTAGGAAAGGGCCAAGGCCCAGGCAGAGGACAGGAGGTCTCAGGGGCATCTTGTGGACTTAAGTGTCCATAGAGTGCTGTCCCTGGATCCCCCTGCTTAAGTTTGAAAAGCAGCTCCATCCATCGTTGGGGCAAGTCTCAGAAGTTCCCTCACCTCTTATATGGAGATAGTAATTGTACCTACTTCAAAAGAAGAATGTGGAAGGTTGGACTCAGCAGCCCTGCCTGAGTGCATGCAAGCCCCTGCTTGGGATGGCCTGCCAGAATCAAATAGAGAATGAAGAGGGTTTCTTGAGCTCTGAATTTGGGAATGGATTTAGAAATCAAGACAAACAAAACCACCCAGATTAGCTACTGAATCTCTGTATGTTCAAATCTGCGAAGAGCCCTGCCTTACTGTGATGTTTTTTGGCTAGCCTGCATTCAGGCAAAAGCTCAGCTCTCTGGGTGGTTCAGCCAAGAAAGGTCCAGAAAGAGCATTGGAAGCAACAGCTGGATCTTATGTCCCTCTAGGTGGTCCCCTGTCTTGGGAAACTTGAATCTCAAAGGACCCATGCAGGGAGAGGGAGGCAGGAGTCCCCACTGTGATGGTTCTTGAGTGCATATCAGGGAGCTGTTGCTTTGAAATAAGCCACCAAAGCCCAATATTTTAAATAACAGGTGTTTATTGTTGCTCAGTTGGGAGTGTAGAATTCTGGTCCTGGCTGCCCTCACATGTGGGAGATGGGGTGGGAGTGTCTGCTGGTTGCAGAATGATCTAGAATGGACTCAGGACAACTGGCTCTCCTTCACAAGTTTCAGCTGTCTTATCCCAAAAGGCCACCCAGGTTCACTGGGGCCTGGTAAGTGAACAAGTGGAACCTCCCAAGACCAAAGTTCCAGGCTCTGAGCTGGCACAAGGCTACTTATGTTGCATTCTTTTGGTCCAAGTGAGTCTCCAATCCAAACTAGGTTCAGAGATTGAGGAATATAGACTTCACCTCTTGATGGGAATGGTAAAGTCACAAGGCAAGGAGTTATGGGTACAGGGAGACATTCTGCCACAGCTTTAGGGACAGTGTCACAGCTTTAGGGAATGACCCAGGCCTACTCCCACTCATGTAGATGGAGCAGTTTCCCACAAGCTAGCTCTTAGAACAGGACTGGAGAGGGGACCTAGTTGACTGCCAATCAACATTGTTGCCAAGAGCATCCACAGTGTTGGTCTGCCATATCTCTGCTCTGCCCAGAGGCAAGCCTAATAGGTGAAGATGAAGGACAGTTTCCTCCCTTGCCACAGCCTTGCTGCAGGCAACCATACAGACCTGCCCCCATTGCAGAAGGCTGGCTTAACAGAACTCCTTCAAGCCTGGAGACATATTCAACATTCCAAAACAAACTGCTACCAGCTTGGAGATAGAACTCCTGCATCAGGCATGTCCTGAAGTCCATCTGCCTTTGGCTTGCCAGTTAGGGGAGCTGGTAAATCCTTTTGAATCCTTCAGAGCTCCTGAAAGACTGACTGTCTGGACCAATCAGGGTATTCCCTCAATATCAAATGAAATGGATTTGAATAGCACAACACAGGATATAAAGAGATTTTTTTTTCATTAAATGAAATTTAATCTATTCTCAGCTCTGATTCAACAGGGAGATGGGAATTTCTCTTTACCAACCTGAGTTGTGGGAAAGTTCTGGAGTTCTAATACAATTCAGAATATTGGAGTAGGACTCTGACCCTTAAATCTGTTCTTGTCACTGCTGATGTGTGCTTTCCCGATCTGAAAGTGCTCAGAGGCCCAGCCTCCACTGCTGAGGTACCAGCTCTGCAGGTCAAAGGAGAATGGGGAAGGATGTCCCTCTCCTGAATATTTATCCATCTGAGAGTTTCTAGCCCCTCCTTTACTGCACCCCACCCTACGGACTGTCCACATTCTATCCTTTTAGTGAGCAGCAGCATGATGTGCTCTGTTCTAGAGGGCCAGGAGGCTGTTACTCCACAGGCCTGTTCTCAAGGTCACGCCTTCTCCAGCCAACAAATCAGTCCTGGTCCCTGCACTGGACCACCTGTTTCCCAGTGGCCCCAACCTTGTTGATTCCGGGCTCCTTCAGTACTCTGTAAAGTCACCCATGCTTAGCTCTGGGTTTGGCTCGCTGGACAGGTCACCTCTCTGAGCACCAATGGCCTCATCAATGAAATGAGAATGGGCCAGAGTTTCTATGTGTACAAAATCGCAGATTACATGATAAGGCATGGGAAGGGCCAGAATGGTACCACAGCACAACTGAACACAGGATCTTAGGTTCTCAGGTGAAGCCACTGGGTCTGGATAGCCGGTGGGGACTCCAGTGCTGATGATGTTCTGGAGCAGGGAGGGGGATAAAGGGGGCCTTGGGAATGATGACTTGCTGGGCCCTGAGGAAGGGCTAGGGTCTGGGTCCGAGGTCCAATTCAGCATATTAATATCACAGCACCGCTCGCGCAGATGCGGGCTGGGGAACAGAGGGCTGGGCGGGGTCGTGGGCAGCAAGCGGCGGGTCAGGGAGGTCTAGGGTCAGGGGGCGGGTATGGCGGCCCGGGCGCAGGGCGCGGCTCAGGCAGCCTCCAGGCGGCGCGCCGGTGCGATTGCCGAATCCCCGGGCTGCAGGGCCCGCAACCTACGCTCGCGGCTCCTCTCCAGCTCCAGCCAGTGCTGCGCTTCCAGCTGCGCCTGCGGGCGGGGAGCGGTGTTGGCATGGGCAGGACACGCCAGGGCGGCGGCCGAGGCCAAGCCGGAGCTCGCCTTGGCTCCCCGAAAGCTCACCGGTGACTGGCGGCGCTCAGTCCGCGCCGCCGGCAGGTGCAGCAAGGCCGCCTGCCGGCGGCGCTCCGCCACCCTCTCCTCGATCCTGCGCTGCAGCTCCAGCACGCGCTCGTCTTGGGAGGGCGCGCCCGTCACCGCCTGGGTTTTCTTCTGCTCCCACCTGGCCAGCGACAGATTGGGCTTAGGAGTGGCGGTCTGAAACCCGGCACCGCCCGGGGCAGGGTCACCTTGCACAGGGTTGGCCTGGGGTCCTGCTAGCATCCCTGCCCTTATGTTTCTTTTTAAAAAAATATTACATTCATCCGGGAGTGGTGGCGCACAGCTGTAATACTAGTGACACGGGAGACTGAGGCAGTTCGATCACAAGTTCAAGGCCAGACTCAGCAACTTGGTCTCAAAATATAAAATAAAAAAGGGGGCTGGATTTAGCTCAGTTGGTAGAGTGCTTGCCTTGAATGATGCACAAGGCCCTGGGTTCAATCCCCAGAACCAACAAAAACAAATAAAATAAAATAAAAAAGTCTAGGGATGTAGCACAGTGGTAAAGCGTCTCCAGGTTCAATCCCCTGGAGTTTGGAGGGAGGGTTAGTATGCGAAAGCCCCTTTTATCTCACTCTCTTCTTGACTCTCTTGTGCCTAGAGTTCCTTGTGCTTAGAGGTGACTACTGCTAATTTCTGTGGTGTGTGTCCTTGCACACTGTCTCCACACATAGGCAATTTCCCTGTCTCATCAGTAGGTCTTGTTCCCTGCCAGAGTTGACAGTAACTGCACATCACAGTGTAGTGCATGTGTGGGTTCTCTCTCCTATGTCTACACTCCCTGTTGACTGTCCTGTCCCCCCCCCCCCCAGAAAAATGCTCCTGCTGAATTACTGCTGTTGGGGCTGGTTGCACACATGGGGTAGGGCTCCAGAAACTTGTTATCCAGAGCAGGGCCCTTAGAGACACTCTAACAACTGCTTTTAGGGTCAGCTGGGACCAGGTCAGCAGCTGGGAAGTGGTGAAGTTTCCAGGATGTGTACCACTGTGGGACCTGCTATGGTCTGCAGCCCTCCCTGAGCAGTCCCTAGTTGCATGTGCTTTATCTGAATTACAGCCAGAGCAGCAAGTGGCTCAGAGGACCAAGGGTGATGGATTTCTCCCTTTTTCTCTTTTCTCTGTCAGACCTGTCTTCACACGCCACCCCATTCCCACTCTGGAGCCCAGTGTGCTCTGCTGTAATAGTGAGGGTATTGAGGCATGGGGGACCAAGCCAAGATTCAAAGGCTAGCATGACCCTGGTTAGAATGGGGAGATACCTACCTGTGCCTGACTGGGTTGCCAAGTGACAGGCACATGGGTCTGGAAAAAGTCATCATAGTGTCCCCAGAAGCAAAAAGCAAAAAGGTATGTGTGTGTGTGTGTGTGTGTGTGTGTGTGTGGTGCGTGGGAGCGCGTGCACGCACATATACATGCACATTCATATGCTGTGTTTGATCCAGACCCTGGTGTAAAAAAAAAAATTTACAACAAGCAATCTTTAAAAGGTTTTAGTAGTCTTGGGATGCCTGGAAAAATGTGAATACAGAGGGGTCATTTAAAAGATGTTGGGATTTTTTTGTTACCTTTCCTGGTTGTGCCAGTGCTTTGGTTATGTAGGACACTCTTCTTTTTTAGAAGATGCATACTACATTTTTCAGGAATGAAGCATCTGATTGATGCCTGCGACTACTTCCAAATGGCTGTGCAGACAAATAAATAGCTAGCTGGTTAGATGAAGCACATATGGCAGAAGGTTGTGCACATGGCCTAGGTACAAAGTGGCTATATTTAGGTCATGGGCATGGAGGCCATCACCCCATGATCCCCACCATTTCTGTAGGCCTGAGAATCATCCACTAAACTAGGAGGTGTGGAGGGATTTCCTGCAAGGGGCCTGCCTGGTAGGAGGGTGGAGACTGCTTCAAGGAGACCCACTCTGGGGAATAACTGGCTTGCTGTTCCTTGCGCACCTGGAGGCACCCTTCTGGGTTTCAGGTACCTACCTCATGGCCGCAGTTTTCCCCATGGCCTTGCGGCACAGTGAGATCTGCTCCAATGTGTTCAGTAGCTCCTGGCTCTTGGCACGCTTGTCCTGGATGATTTGATCTCGCTTCTCTTCCTCCTCACGCCTCTGGGTCTCTCTGAGCAGCGCCAGTCGCTCTCGCAGCTCCACAACAGACATCTCCCCCTCCACACCATACCCGGGGATCTGCCAGATGGCAGGGGAGGCTCCAAGCTGGCAGCTATGCAGCCTGCCCCCTGCCCTGCCTGCCTTCCTTCTGTTTCCATTCTGCCTCTGTAACATGCCCCTGTCTAGCTTCTCCAGCTGAAGCCCACTCTGTAGCCCACACTGGCTGGACACCCTAGCAGGTACCCCTTACCCCATGGGGCCAGACGCCAAAACCAGCTCTCATGGTACCTCCTGTGCTGCCTCTCATCCCATGAACCTAGCTCCTTCCTGATTTCTCACACATGTTTCCAAGAAACTGTCCTCTTAGCCTCTGGATCCATCCAGTCCCAGCCATCTGCTCACCTTGCTCTCCCTGCATTGCCCTTCCAACCTGCCTCAGGGGTTGCAGAGGTCCAGTCTGGTGTCTGTCTTACCAGCAGGTCCAGGCCTACAGCACCCTGAGTGCTGCTGAGTCCACTGCTGGTGGTGCCCCCACTCCATGAATTTGGGGATGGGCAAGATCTGGCTTGGTAGGAATTCTGGATTTGCTGTTCCCAGCACAGAGAATCAGGCAGGGTATGAGTTCTGGGGGCTGTGTCCTCACCTGGGTCAGGTCCACCAGCTTGCCCTTGCGTGTGGGCTGTGTCTCCAGTGCACGCAACTGCGAGGTGAGTTCACAGCAACGCCTCTGCTCCTCCCTGGCTGCCTCTGCACTGCGCTGCAGCATCTCCCGGCTCTCCTCCATTACCTCCTGAACTTGGGGACCAAGAAGAGTGCTGAGGGCATCCAAGAGTGCCTGGATGGCACTGGACAGAATCCACCTCCCCCTGGGAATTTCATGTTCAGTTTCTGACCAAGTGAGTCATCCTGGGAGGACCTGTCCAGTCCCAGCCCACCCTCCAGTGACCACAGCAGCTCACTCAGCAGGATGCTGGCCCAGGACCCAAGCAGGGAAGAATGGAGCCAAGCAGACCTCCAGGAACCTGGCTCCTTGCCATACCTATCTGCTGTCGGCCCTTCACAAGCTTCATCTGAGCCACTTTGACATTCTTCTGTGCCTCTGTCACTTGTTCCACCAGCTCCTTCATGGACTTGGCCTCTCTGAGCCTCCTCTCGGCACACTGCAGCATCAGCTCAGCTGTCTGCTCAGAGGACTCATCATTGTCAGAGCCCAGCCAGGCTCTCCTCCCATCCTGACCCAGGCCTGCCCTGACACCCCAGGGCTGGCAGTTTCTGGGGGGGTCCTCTTAAGGTTGGAGAAGTCCCCCTGACATCTTCCTCCCTCCCCGTGTGATCCTGGGGCTGAATTTGTTAAGCCACCCGGTCTGGGCTGCCCTGGAGTCAGAGTGTGTATGGTAATGTAAAATAAATGCTCAGAATGGAGAAAGCAGGGTGGGGAGGATACAGAACTTTTGCAGCTTTTCTGTAAATCTTAGGTCTGTCCTAAAGTGAAAGGTTTATTTTTAAAAAATTACTGTAGAGGGGCTCAGCCTTCGGGTTCAATCCCCTGGGACCAAAAAAGAAAAAGGAATTAGAAAATAATTTTGTTGTTATTGTGGGTATTGAACCCAGGACCTTGCACACGTTATGCACATGCTCTACTGCTAGCCTGCACCCCCAGCACCACTTTTGAAATTTTGTAACACGTCAGAGAAATGCTTATGTGGAAGTAGGAGATGAAGAGAAAAAGTGGCTTCTCTCAAGGAGGTAGATTGGGACCAAAGGTGCCTGGTTCTGTGGCTCCCCAGCTTGGCCACACTGTCAGGGACCGGCAACCAAAGGCTGGAGATCACTCCACAGCAGGGAGACAGCAAGAGCTTCGTGTGGGAGTAAGAAAGAGGAGACTTCTGGCCAAGCAGTGCCTCTCACCTGTTGTAAATGCACACAGAATTGGGAAGTGGCTCACATCCTTGGAGAAGACACCAACTTGGAGGCAAAACTTCCCGGATGTTCAGTTCTATCTCCCTTAGCCTTGACCACCTGTGTGACCTCAGGTAAATGCTGGGTCTTCCTGGGCTTCAGTTCGTTCGTTCGTTCGTTCCTTCCTTCCTCCCTCCCTCCCTTCCTTCCTCTTTTTAATGGTGCAGAGAGATAAGCATTCTACCAACTAAGCTATATTCCCAGCCTTCAGGGGTTTTTTTAATTAAAATTTTTGTTTTTAAAATTTTGGGGGTTTTCAGTGTCTTTGCTGGGAAATCAAAGGCCGTATCCCTTCCTCGGCTGCATGGAGCACAGCACACAGAATGGGGCAAGGGCTCACTGCCCTCTCAGTGGCAGCATGGGCATCAGTACAGTGTCAGGGAGAAGAAAGGAGAGCACAGGGCAGGGGCCATAAATGCGCAGCCACCTGGCCAGGCTGGCAGTGAGGTTGAGGTCACCACAGATGAGTTAGCGAGAGCCACAGCTGGCCCAAGCCAGGATTGATGCCTGGCTGCATCTGAAGGAAGCCCAGGACCACCTTCTGCCTGGAGTTGCTCAGAGGCCAGCAGCCTGCCATGCGTCCCTGGTCCCTGTCTGGAGGTCCATCAGGTCCCGCAGACCTCATCCTGCTACCACAGAGTGCCACTGCACTAGGGCTGCACGTAGAGCTGGCCCCACATGTTCAAGCCCCTGCAGTGGCAGAGCACTTGCCTAGTACACACAAGGCCGGCGCTTGGATTCCCAGCTCCAAAAAACAAAGCAAGACAAAACAAAACCAGAACATGCTGGACAGGATTTACGTGACCAGAGCCAAGTGGAAAAGTGCCGCAAGTGCTGCCAAACTAAATGGGCTAATGCTTGGTAAAATGTGCCCACACAACAGTCCCCATGACAACTGGCCTGCAAAGGCTCTTCCCCAGTGGACCTGCTGTTGACACTGGCACAGGTGCTCTGCATTCAACCCCCTGTGCCAATGGGTTAAAAAGCTTTATTCAACATGACTGATTATTCTCATTGTTAAGGAGTTAAGGATGACAGAAGCCATGTTGGGGTCTCCTGATCACAGTGCTCCTGCCCCACAAAGCCTCTCACCAGACTGCACCTTTCTTGCTCCCAGCTCTGGCTTCCAGGGCCCTGCTTTGATGGGCTATGTCCCTCCAGGTGGCCCTCATAAGGCAACTTAGGAGGTTCTTCAGGTCCTTCTCTGGTCTGGGCAAGGAGAGTGCCTGGCTGCTGCTACCAGTGCTGCCCTCCTGCCCCTGCACCACCTCTAGGCTTCAACATAGGTCTACGCTCCTCTCTGTGGCTTTCAAACTCCAGGGAATGTCACAGGGATTAACCTCAGGAATGCAAGGGTGAATTGACAGGAAGAAATTACTGGGCTAAGGATGTGAGGATGCACAATTCTAAATATGCATGCACCAAACAACAGAGCTACAAAATATGTGAAGCAAACGAGCACTTGCCTAGCATGCATGAGGCCCTGGGTTCTATCCCTGGTATAAAAAGAGAGAGAGAGAGAGAGAGAGAGAGAGAGAGAAATGACCAAAATGATGCACTAGGGAGGGGAAAATACAATCATATGTGCAGCTGCTGAAAAAGCTGTTCTTAAAACTCAACACTGGGGACTTCTGGGAAGATGGAGGGCACTTTTACCTGACTCTCTCATTAGAGACACCAGCACCCCTGGCTGCTGTCTCTAATATAAACATAGGAAGACTCTGAAAGGGGAAAAGAAGGCAGACTGCCCAGGAGCCGCAGGCCTGAAACCTCTCAGAGTGTGAGTTCTCTGGGTTTTCTGGTGCCAGTGGAGCTGTCAACATAGTAATGCCAATAGGTGCAAACTAAAAAAACCCACCGACGTCTGCCGCTTTCTCTAGCCAAAAGACCAGGAAAAGGGCAGCCTGCAAGGACAGGATAACTCTAGAACCTAACCTCCAACTCCAGGAGGACTGCATAGAATGCTGTGTGGTCCACCTCATCCCCATCAGAGAAGACTGAGGGGGAGCCTGGGCTGGACACTCACCAGGCTGAGCTAAGGTGCACCAGCCGCAAGGTGGTAGCAGAGAAGCCTGCACAGAGACCTGGGGGCTCCATGGAACTTGGACTTCCACCCACCCTTGGTGTGAGCAGAGCCTCTCCCCTACTACCTGGGGTGGCTAAAGGTGCTTTAGACAAAAAAGAGTGATTAAAAGAGAGCTCTTGTTACATCAGGAAGTAAGAATGTCGGGAGCAAACACAGGTACATACAGAGACTTCCTTCTTTCCTGCCTTCTTAATCACGTCTGTGGTTGAAGCAAAAATCATAATGCTGTCTGATGTGACTCTAAATGTATGGAAAGGAAATATTTCAGACAATTCTATAAAAAGGGGAGGGCAAGGGATGTAACATGACACTATGTAAACTATGTCCTGTGCTGCTGTATTTTGGGTCTGGAGTGTCCCCAGGGCCATGTGTTGAAGAGTGGTCCCCCAGCCTGTGGTGTCACTGGGAGACTGTGGAACCTTTAGGAGGAGGGGCCTGGTGGCAGGAAGTCAGGTCATTAGATACATGCCCTCAAAGGGGAAAGTGGGACCCTAGTTCCTTCTCTTCTTCTCTCTTTTATTTCTCAGCCCCCATGAGATGAGCAGCTTTGGTCCACACCTCATGGCACACTCCTGCTGTGATGTGCAACCTTGCCACAGGCTCAAAAGTAATGGGGCCAACCAACCATGGACTGAAACCTCCAAAACTGTGAGGCAAATAAAACCTTTCTTCCTTTTAAGTAATCACAGATATTTTGTTGCAGTAACAGAAAGCTGATCAACACATGAATATATAATGCAATATCTTGAGAAACAATAAAAAAAAGTAAAGAGACGTACTATAATTATATAAACACCATAACTAAATCAAAATGGAATTCTGAAAAAAATTTGCCATTGAAAGGCAACAAAAACAGAGAAACAAACAAAAAGTAGAATAAACAAAACAGAAAGTGGCAGGCTTAAATCTAGCAAAATAACTAATTACATGTAACTGGTAAATATATATCAATTAATAGCAGCAATTAGCAGATTAAAAAAACAAGAAACTTCAAATATAATCACATAGACAGATTGAAAGTAAAAAGGATAGAAAATATATATCATGCACACATTAACCATTAAGCAGAGCTTTAATATCAGATAAATAGACGTCAGAGCAAAGAAAATTGCTGGAGACAGAGAGGGTTATTAGATAATAATAAAAGGGTCAAGACCAGGAAGACACCAATTCTAAATAGGCATGCACCAAACAACAGAGCTACAAAATATGTGAAGCAAAATCGAATAGAGCAGAAAGAAGAAGAGATAATTTCACAGTCACAACTGGAGATTGTAACACCTCTCCTCAACAACTGATAGAACAACTAGACAGAAAGTCAGCAGATGCACAGAAGAATTCACTATTGTTATGGTTTAGATATTAGGTGTCCTCAAAAAGTTCATGTGTGAAACAATGCAAGAAATTTTAGAGGTGAAATGATTGAGTTACAAAGACTTAACCCAAACAGTGAATTAATCCCTCAATAGGGATTAACTGGGTGGTAACAGTAGGTGGTAAGGTGTGGTGGGAGGAGGCAATCATTGCGGGTGTGCCTTTGGGGTGTATGTTTTTTTCTGTGAAGAGCAGAGCTCTGTCTCTGTGTCCTGGTGTGACGTCCTGAGCTTCTTTCCTCCACCAATTCTTCCGCCATGATGTTCTGCTTTCACTACGCACCTCATTCCACAGCCCTGAGGAATGAAGCTGGCCGTCTATGGAACTGAGTCCTCTGAAATTGTTAGCCCCAAAATGAACTTTTCCTTCTATGATTTTCTTGTCCCTGCAGTGAAAAAGCTGACTAAAACAAGTGCTAACCGGCAGGAGCCAGTCAACGTCCATGAACTATCCAATCACAGCAAGCAGAGTATGTGTTCTCTTGAAGTGTTTCACATAAAACATGGCAAGATAGACAACATCCTGCTTTGCGTGGTGACACACACCCATAATCTCAGGAACTGGTGCAGGAGGATCACAAGTTTGAGGCCAGCCACAGAAACTTTAGCAAAATCCTGCCTAAAAACAAAAATGAAAAAGACTGGGAATGTAGCTCCGTGGCTCAGTGATTGACTGCTCCTGGGTTCAATCCCCAGTATGGGGGTGGGGAGGAAATCAATAATAGAAAGGAAATCAATAATAGAAAGATGCAGGAAAGGGGCTGGGGCTGGGGCTCAGCACAGAGCACTCGCCTGGCTCATGGGAGGCCCTGGGTTTGATTCTCAGCACCACATAAAAATAAATAAATAAAATAGAGGTATTGTGTCCAACTACAATTTAAAAAAATATTAAAAAAAAGAAAGACAACAGGAAAATCTCCAAATGTTTGGAATCCATACAATACACATTTCACTTCTAACTAATTCATGGAGGAAATCTCAAGTGAAATGGAAAAAAATGTGTCAAAGTGAATGAACATAAAATAAAATACATTAAAATTGCAAGACATAGCTAAATCAGTAAATCAAAGGTGATGCATATCACCAAGTGCTTGCAATAGAAAGGCAGAGAATTCTCAAATCAGTAACCTAAGCTCCCATCCCAAGAGCCTAGAAGAAGAACAAAATAAGCAAACAGAGGGAAGTGAAGATCAGAAACCAATTTAAAACAGCAAAACAATAGAGAAAATCATCAAAACAAAAAGCCAACTCTTTGGAAAGATGAGTAAAATTGAAAATCTCTAAACAAGAATTGCAGATCAAAAGCAGAAATATACAAATTGGGAATACCAGGAACAAAACAAGTTTTATCATTATAGCCCCTACAGACATAAAAGGATGATAATAGAATATCACACACAACTTCTACACACATAAATTCGACTTTGTCAAATGGATTGATTCTTCAAAATATGCAAACTGTCACAGCTTACCTAATATGAAGTAGATTGTTTGAATAGTCCTACACCCATTTGTCATTTTAAAACTTCCAAAAAAGCAATCCCCCACTAGGGGTTAAGCTCAATGGAAGAGTGCAGTGTTTAGCACTAGAAAGGTCCTGGCTTTGATCTCCAGTACAAATAAACAAGTAAATAAAATAAACTTAAAGGAAAGCAAAAGCCAATCTTCACATTTGTTTTTTTTTTGGTACCAGGGATTGAACCCAGGGGTGCTTAACCACTGAGCAACATCCCCAGCTCTTTCTAATATTCTATTTAGAGACAGGACCTCATTAAATTGCGAGGCTGTCTTTGAATTCTTGTTTGCATGTAGAAAAATAAATTTAGGAGTGTTATAACTGCTATTAATGTTGGTAAAATAATATTATTATTTGATATGAGTTCTTTAATGATAATTCACCTTGGGGTAAACCCAGTTAGGGGTGGAAGTCCTCCTAGTGATATTAATACAATGAGAGTTGTGGAAGTTAGAAGGGGGAGTTTGTTTCATATATTTGAGAGGGATAGGGTGGTAGTTTTTTTGTTATAGTGAAATAATATAAATATGTTAATTGTGAGTATAATGTAAACAACTAGATTTAACATAGTTAAAGTAGGATTAAATGTAATAATTGCTATTATTCAGTTTATATGTGCAATTGATGAGTATGCTAGATTTTTTTAAATTTTCTAGTTGTAGTTGGACACAATACTTTTTATTGTTGCACTTATTATTTTTACGTGGTGCTGAGGATCGAACCCGAGGTGAGTGCTCTACCATTGAGCCTCAACCCAGCCCCTTGCTAGAATTTTTTATAGTTGAGTTTGATTACGTCCTCCTCAGTCTCCTAACATGATGGATAAAATCGCCATAGATAATATTAAAGGAGAGTTAATAGGTGGTGCAATTTGGTATACAATGGAGATTGGAGTGATTTTTTGTCATGTTAGTAGAATTAGTCTTGATATAAGCAGAATTCCTTGAATAACTTCTGGAATTCAAAGGTGAAATGGAGCTAGTCCTATTTTTGATAGTAAATATAAATAATGAGATTTGGTTACACGAGCTGGTTAATGGGATCCTCCTGTCTTAGTCTCCCCAGCTGCTGGGATTATAGGTGTGCACTACTAGGTCTGGCTTAGAAAAAGCGAATCTTAAAATTGAATGCAAACAGTTAAAAATGGGTCTAACAAAAGAAGTAATTTGGGGCTGGGGTTGTAGCTCAATGGTAAGAGCTTGCCTACCATGTGTGATGTACTGGGTTTGATCCTCAGCACCACATAAAAAATAAATAAATAAAATAAAGGTATTGTGTCCAACTATAACTAAAAATATTTTTTTAAAAAGAGGTAATTTGAGTGATCTTGGAGAGCGTGTCCTCTGACCTCAGGGACTCAGTGGGACACATCTGAGGAGAGACATGGCTACAGATTGGACCTATGAGGCCAGTGGGGGCCCTCCTTGGGCACATCTGGGAGACATTGGTAGGCACAAGCACACAGGGGATGCAGGTAGGGAGCATTCACCTAGATAGTCTGTCCTTGGTGGAGAAAGAGCCAGGACTGGCACATCAGGTCTTCTAAAGTGGTAACCTGGACACCCACAAGTCCCCTCCCCCCGCAAAGCAAACATGTTACATGCAAAGGTGTCCACCACTAGAAGGTTTTGCCAGAATCTGAGGGCTTCCCCGGGGCACCCAAGGATCCATGGATCAAATCTCCCTGCTGATGGGAGTGGGGGGCAGCCTAGAGCAGAATGGCCTGATAGTCCTCTCAGCCCTGGTGACATGAAACTCCTGAAACTTGCCTGCTGGGGAAGGTACAGAGAAACCATGTCCATCCTATGGGTCTTGGAAAGAAATGACCTAGGATTAGCCTGGGAGCCAATGGCACAGGCCTTCAGCTCTCTGCCCACCATGGCCCATGGCTCCTGAGGTCACACAGCTCAGCTGCCCCTTGATCCCAGCTGCTCATATGTGGCACATCACCTCCTCTTTCTTCTGGTCTGCCTTCTGCTTGTTTTCCTGTATGAGGTTCTGCCGGGCCAGGATGGCCTCCTCATGGCTGAGCTTCCCCTGTAGCCGCCGGCACTCGCCTGCAGCCAGCTGCTCCTCCTGGTCCTTTGCTTGCATCTTCTTCTGCCACTCAAGGAATTCAGAGAAGTCCCCAGCTCCATCCACAAGCTTATCAACCCTGGGGACAGAGGGACCAAGGATCAGGTCTACCAGGAGGCCACAGGTTCCCTGGAAGGTAGTGGTCCTCATAGGCATGGGCTGCTACCTACCCCCACACCCAGACACATCACCAACCTACCTACCCCCCACACCCAGACACATCACCAACCTACCTACC